CCAAGAAGCAGAGAAGAGCAAAAATCAAAGATTTATCATCTGGCTGTGGTACGTAGAAGACAGCAGGCTGCCTGCTGGGCACAAGCCGGGTGGCCATCGAAAACCAGAGATCAGGGACAAATATACACTCCACTGAGCTCCTGCATCCACCCAGATGAAATGATACCATTTGCAACAAGGAAAGAAGGCTGTTGGCCTTCTGGGCAGTTTCCAATCAGCTGGCCAACAGAGGAGAAGCTGCTGCTTGCAGAGAGAGGGGGACACTACCCTCACTCCCAGAGCTCAGAGGAAGGAGGACCATTACCAGTGTGGAGCTCCCACTCTGGGCCAGCGCTGTGTTAGACATCTTACACGTGTGGGAGAGGTGCTGTTAAACCTTATTTAGCAGAGGACAAACCTGAGGCTGAGAGAGGTTCTTTAGGACTCTCGGTGACAGAAACCCAACTATGACCAGCTTAAATAAAAAAGGGACGATATTGGCTCAAGTAACTGAAAGGTCTAGGGGTAAGTTGGTCTTCAAGTTCAGCTGGATAGAGGGGCTCAAAGATGACACTGTCCATCTCCTGCCTTGGCTTTTCCTTTCCCTCTGTGTTGCCGTCACCCCAGATAGGATTTTCCTCTTGGTTGCAAGATGGAGGCTACAAACTCCTGGCTTCATTCTTCTAGTCTGGCAATGTCAATAGAGAAAGACACATGTCAATAGAGAAAGAACTTCTCTTCCTTAACAGTTCTAGTAAAAGTCCCAGAAATGACACCCACTGGTCTGTCATGGGTCACGTGCCCGTCTCTAATGCAAACCCTGTGGTCACTGTAGGTCAAATCTGTCCGACTTGAAGTTAATGTTCTTGACTATGTGCAAAAATCTTCAGGAACCTCCATTCTTGCCAGGAGATGAAGTAAAGTTTTTTTGGAGAAGGTAGCATTTGAGGAATGCATCAGTCAGAAATTTGGGGCTGTAAATGACAGAGATCCCACTCATACTGGCTTAAACAGAAGTAGAGGATTTTTTTTTTTTCTGGCTTATGTAACCAAAAAAAAAACCAGGGAGAGATGGAACTGTAGGCACAGGCTGATCCAGGGACCCGTGTCGGCAGGACTCACTCTCCGTCTCTTGGTCCTTCTCTTTTCTGTGGGAGCTGTGTGAGCACTCGAGGCTGACCTTCTCCTGGCTTAGCCACCCTGCTGGAAAAAGAGCATTATTATTTCAGGAATTTCAACAGAAATCCCAGATCTGAGTCTTATTAGACCATTTGAGCCATGTGCCCATCCTGGTGGCCAGAGATACACTGATTGACAGTCCTGCAGTCAGAGGAGCAGGTAGACTAACTTCACCAGAAGCATCTAACTTAGAATGAAGGAGGATGTTTATCACTATAAAAGCAGGTTGCTAGCACCAACAGAAGGGATAAGAGATTAGACTGATAAGACCCATCGATGGCTGCATTAGGTATCTATTGTGTTTAAGAAACCACCTGAAAAGTGTTACTTAAAACAACGACTATTTATTTAGTACAGGATTTTGTGGTTGGCAGTTTGGGCTCACTCATGCATCTGTGAACAGACACACGGTCTGCTTGGGGCTGACCGGTCTAGGGCCCTTGGTTGAGCCATCATTTCTTATTCACAAGGTCTCTCAGCTTCCAGCAGGCTAGCCCCAGCTCATTCACACAGAAGCAGAAGGTTTCCAAGAGAAACAAAAAGAGTACAAGCACTTTTCAGGCCTTTGCTTGCATCCCATTTGGTAATATCCCATTGGCCAAAACAAATCACATGGCTGAACCCAGAGTCAGAATGGGAGGGCACGCAGAGTTATAGGTGAGGGGACGTGGATTCAAGGAGGGGAAGAATTTGTGGCCTTTTTTGCAGTCTGGCCATTTCAAACAGCATCAGAATAGTCTCTGCCACATAACAGACACACCAAGCAAATAAACTCTTGTCTAATAAGTGATGTGATTAGGATGAGGAAAGAACAAGGAAGGCCTTCAGGCAGAGGAAATAGCATCAGCGAAGGCCCAGAGATAGTAAATAGGGGTTCATTTGCAGTGAGCATGTATGCTGTGGTTAAAACATGGAATAGAGGAAGGAGTGGCCCTTATGGGCCATATCAGGGTAAGCCGCCTTGGGTGCTGAGTTTAGGGTTTGGACTCTATTCTGTGTGTTTGGGGCAGTTGTTGAAGGTGTTTGAGCAGTGACATGATTCATCTAGCAAGTCCAAAGCAGGGTTTTGAAGGGTAGCTGTAGGTGGGGGACTCCTCTGGCAGACAAAATCCTGGGGAGGGAGGAGGAACATTGACATCCTTGAAGGCACAGAAGCAGAGCAGCTGCAGCGTCCACTGTGCTCCAGTGGGTACCACAACTGAGTTTCGAGCTCATTTCGCCTTGGCATATCCCAGATAGTGAGCTTCCTCCTGCCTCCCTCAGGCTGTGAGTACTTGGAGACGCTCTGTATCCCGAGTGCCAGACAAACACGGGTTGCTTCCCATATCACCTTGTATGCAGCCACCCCCAATACCTGGGATCAACTGCCTGTTGATCCTCCCACCCCAGATGTTTCTTGGTGGGTTTTTAGTGCACCAGAGCCTCCTTGGGAGTGAGATTTCAGCTCTAAGTTCCCAGCTACTGCTCCGTTCTGAAATCCAAACTTCCAATCACAGCTAAATTGTTCCTGTCTTTGCCAGCCCCTCCCATGTGATGCCGGCAAATACCAAAGACCTGAGACCCAAATAAGCATGGAGTTTCTGTGCAGAGCCTCCCCAAGCCCAGTCACAAGCGCAGCAGGCTTTGAAACCGGCTGTGATGGATTGTTACTGTCTCCTGATTTGCCTAAACATGCGTCTCGCCTCTCAGTGCTTTGCAGTGTGGACTTTTTGTTTGCGTGTTTTAGCAAACGAAATAAATGTTGGAAAACAAACCCACAGGCCATGTGGCTGTCTTTTGAGAAATAGTAAGCCTCACGTTCCTATACCCAAACGATATCCCACAGCAATCCTCACAGCAGCGCTGCAGATTAACCATGGCATGGGCTGCGTCCACAGACCCCAGCTCACTGAGGCTGGACGTGGCTCCTGCAGCTTTCAGGGGCAGGATTCGGAAACTGCAGGCGTCTGGGTTGCTGCCGTGGCTCACTCATACCCAATTTCCACCTAATGGTGTCCTCTGGGAAGGAAGGCAAGAATCACAGCATACAGTGTAAGGCCTCGTTCTGACCACTGTGTATATTTAAACTCATTCAGTCTTCCCAAGCCCCCTTTGAAGAAACTGAGGCACAGAGAGGCTTGAGGATCTGCTAAAATTCACACAGCTTTGATGATAATGCTTTCTTCATAACTACATATTCAAACTTAAACAAAACTGAAGCTAAAAATAAATAAGTGAATTTTTTTACTTTTAATAAAATGAGTTTATGCAAATGGAAAATTTGAATATCTTTTACTAGAAAAGAGCAGGAGAAAGCTCAAGCATGACCTTTGCATTAGCCCTTCAAGACCCTACCCACCGGCCTCCCCTCTCTACCACTGCAGAAGTGTAGATTCCCTACTTTGGGGACCCCCAGAGGTCACCCACACCTATTCCTATCATATCCTTTCTAAGGTAAATAACACTCATAACTATTCATGTTTCTTTCTTTCTCAGAAGACGTGAACTCATCAGCATTTAGTACAGCACCCGGCACATAGCAGATACTCAACACTTGGTTGAAGACCAAGACTTAGAAGGGTCCCTAGTCTAGCCAGAACTCATAATTGCAAGTGACTATGAGTAAGTCATTGCCTGGTCTGTGCCTCCATTTTTCCATAAGGAAAATTTTAGACAGCAGGTACTACTGATTAATTTTGAGTGGTGGTAAACTCAGAGACATTATATCTATGGAATCCTGAGCTCAGAAGCCAAAGACGGAGAAGAGCATGTGTGCTAGGCTGCACGTGGGAACCAGACTGCCTGGCGCCCCCGCGCATCACTGGTTCTGCGTCTGGAAGTGAAGGCCCTCCCTCAGTGCTCATGCTGTGGGTCTGTGGCTGCCACCTGCGGCAGGGAGGTGTGATTGAGTTAGCAATGGCGCTCCCCTGAATCCCTGCATCATCCAAAGGCTGCCAGGTGACAGCTGGCATCTTTGGCTGCCACAGTGGACCAGGCAGTGTGTGCTGCTCCAGGCTCCCAGCTGTCTCTCTTAGGGAAGGACTGGTGAGGATTGCCTTCCTCCTGCTGGGTGTATTGGCTGGTAACACTGGGCAGGTGGGTCGGGGGTCATCAATGACACTGCCTTAAAGAAGGTCATATCCCCAACATGGGAGCTGGGGGTTAGGGTGGGCAAGGCAATCACCTGGATTCCTGACATCCTCATCTGAGGACTTCTGCTGCCCGGTGCCTTCTGGGTAACCTCCAAACCACTGATTTTAAGTCCCAGTTCCTTCCTCTGCTACGTGGGGCATGGTATCTGATTTCCCTGAGCCATGGGTTCCTCACTGGAAAAAAGGAGAGGAGGGGTGAGAGAAATAAGAATAGGTACCTGGCAAGGTTGTTATAAGATTCCAAGATAAAATATGTCACCTCCATACTCTAGCTAAACACCTGGACTCCTGGGTACCTACTCCCTTTGCGGTCACTGGCCCTGATAACCCATCTAAAAAGTGCCCTCAATCCTTCCCTGTCACTCAATCCTGTTCTATTTTCTCTGTTGCACTTACCACAGTCTGTTTAATTAAGCTCTTATTTAATTATTTGCTTGTAAAATATGTACTTTTAAATATTTGTTTAGAATATTAAGTTAATTAATCGTTCAGTTGTGTGGTCCTTCCTGCCTGGAACACAAGTCCCATGAGGGCACAGGCTTCCCCAGTCTTGGTCACTGCTGTTTTCCCAGCACTTTAGGCAATGCCTGGCATCTAGTGGGCATTTTAAAAATAAAATTTCAATAAATGAATGCTGAATGAATGAATTGTAACTCATTTCGTAAGCTCTAAAATGCTCCTTAGAAGTTATGGATTTTTATTACTCTTAAGGTCAGACCAAGAGCTGCAAATGAAACAGATATCCATGAGTTCGGGTGTTTAAGAAACAAGCTAGAAGAGTCTACCAAGAAGATTCCTGGGGTACAATGCCAAGTGCACCCCCACTAAAGTGCACAGAGATGGCCCTCGCCAGAGTTATCATCATTTTCATCATGGTCACCATTTATTGAAAGCTCGCTGTCTACTTGGCACTGCATTAAGAGGAGGAAAAACTATGATGGTAAGAAAAAATACTGACTTGCTCTTTAGATCATCTATACGTTTGTATGCACTTACACATGTGTTTGAAGTTGAGTTCCTTGGGAGTAGTGCAGACTGAACAAAGCAGTGGTATACGGAGATGCCAGCAGCCAGGTAACACATGCATATTCTCAGTTAATCCTCAGTGTTGTAACTTCTCTGTATCAGTCAGCTATGGCCACAACCATGGTAGTTTGTGCATAACAAACTACCCCTCAAAACCCAACGGTTTATATTAAAGAGCATTTCATGCTCTAGTTTCTGAGTCTACAGGCCAGTTTGGGAGGGGCTCAGCTTCAAGCCATAGGTAGTCTCCAGGCTGTTGATGGTCTCTAGTCTTTTCCACTTGTGTCCTCATTTTCCTTAGACAAGACACTATAATATTCGTGTTCTTTCCATGGTAGGTCATAGATGCAAGAACCAAGCCAAACCTTGGAAGCACATTTATGGCCTCTGCTCACACCAAGTCCTTATCGTTCCATTGGCCCAAGCAAGTTATATGGCGAAGCCCAACATCCATAAGGTAAGAAAATATATTCCTGTGCACGTGTGTGCCCTGCAAGGTCACATGGAAGACCAAGGGTGTGAAGAATCAAGAACAGCAATCCCATCTACTACAGCCCAACTTTACCCCATGGTGAAGCCGAGGCTTCAAACAGTTAAGCTATTTGTCTAAAGCCACAAGTGTGTGTGGAATGCATCTGGGTTTTGGACCCAGCTATGTCTGACACCAAAGCTTGTGTGTTTAATATGCTGAACTCTGCTAAATGCAAGGTGAGCTAAGCCCCACAGGGAAGAGGGTCCTGGAGTTCAGCCTCAGAGGCTTCTCCTCCACCCAGCACAGTGTAAGAGCACCCAAGTTAACCAGAGATCACCTGTCTGGTCAAGGTCATGCCATGGGTCAGTGTCAAGGAGACCCTGGAACCCTTTTTTCCTGCTCTTTGCACCATTCTCCCTGGATAGAATCATGTGCTCTTGGCTTTAAAATGTTACCTAGAGGGTAATATTTTAAAATATTACCTAGAGGGTAATATTTCTCTCTGAGAAATGTTACCAGAGGCTTTTGAAGCAGGCCCAGGAGACTCAGAGGTGACAAATAGTTCCCTTTTCACTTCCTGGAAATTTCTCCTAAATGTGCTTACTCTGCCAACCGTACCTGCAAAAGGAAGAGGCGAAGTTTACACCCAGCTGTTACCATGCAGCCCATCCAGACACCAGCATGCCCGGGCAACTCTGGCTGCTTTTGCAATGGAATCAAAGTGGGGGAAAATAATCAGCAGGGGAGCAAACTCTTGTTTAAATGCAAATACCTTTGAGAGGAAGCAACTGAGGGAAAGGAGATTATGAAAACCCCAGTTAAGAACACAGAGTTGGGACGAAGGCTGATAAACCATGGCAGTCCCCCAGCGGGATTGTCCCTGCTCCATCTCCCGTCAAAGTGGGACACTCGTTTCCAGAAGCGATTTGCCAATGGTACACATCCCAGTCACCCCTAACAAGACTCTTAGAATGGAGCGGAGCGGACTTCCCGATGGGCAGAGAGCCTGTCAGAGCCGAGGGATGCTGATGGAGGGCTGAGCTGGTTTGCACTAGAATTTAAAGTGAAGGAAATGAAGGTTGAGAACTGGGGCCCAAGAGGGAGGTTTCAGAAGGCAATGTGGGTACATCTATCAGGCTCCCCAGAGAGGAGGATGCCTCAGGGGATGTGGATGGTGGGGAGGGCGTCTGGAAGCTCAATCAGAGGCAGCAATGCTTTAGAGCTTTCTAATAGGAATTATAGTAGATTTTCATTTGCTAATCTTGTTTTTATTAAAAATAAAACTATCCATTTTTAGCTTAAAATGTGCTGAAGCTCGAGGATTTAACCACAAATGAGATTATATTTTATAATTATATTGCATCAAGGATTATTTTGTCCTGTAACCTTTTAAAAAGATACATTCCAACTAAAACTCATTTTGTAGCTGATCTCAGGGAAAGTGGGCAGAGACGGGAGGCATGGAGTGAGGGGAACAGCTGCGAACACTCAGAATCACCCCTGCCCCGATCTGAGCCACTGTTGGACTGTGGGTGTTATGCAGGCACATAGGTAGAGGTTCTGTGCATCATCTCAAAACACAGTTATCTGTAAGCACTGCAGGAAAAGACATGGGAGGAAAAGCAAGGATTGTGGCTCCAGGGCAGCTCACCATCCAGGCTGTGAGTTTCTAGAAGGATTCCTGTGACTTGGCAAAAGGGCACCAAACTAAGTGTCAAAAGACCTGAGTTAGAGTCCCATCTTTAACATAATAAAGCCATGCAACATTGGGCAAGTCATTTCACTTTTCTTAGCCTTGGCCTCAGTTTCCATACCTGTAAAATTGGGTGGTTGAGAGTGCTTGAGAGCGCTAAATAAGATGACTGGGGTTTTCCCCATCATTCATTGAGCACTTAATGGTTACAAACTGAGGTTACCAACTGAAAAACTGTGGGCCACATCCTGGCAGCAGCCATGTCTTATTTGCATGTTTAAAAAAATAAATGTGAGCCAGTATTTTAAGATTAGGCAATCTCACATAAAAATCCAGATTTCTGGTTTCTCTTGAAAAAGAAAAAAATCAGATCTGGCAACACTGAGACCTGCAGTGTTACAGTCAGCTGCAGTAAACTGACCCATTTGGCCTCAATCCCCACTGCTCCACGTGTCCCTAATCTCAGGACCAAGCGTCATTTGCCCATTTATCAGAGAAACTATGTGTTATCTTACTGTATGATAGAAATTTGGAAAGCACTGTGTATTTATTCCTCACAATGACTGTAAGCAGCAGGCATTCTCTTCACTCCCATTTTACAGATAAGGAAACTGAGACTTCTTGCTTTTCTGCCTAAATAGAACTATCCATGCTTCATGTTGATTGGCACTTGCTCAAGGCCACACAGGCAGTAAGTGATAGAGACCAGATTTGATTCCAGACTGCCTGCCTGAAAGCCCATGCTTATAACTACTTTGCCACCCTGCTGGTCTAGAAAAGACACCCTTAAACATGTTAACTTTATTCAGATCACAACACTGAGGTTCAGGGAGATGGTAGCCCACCTGAGTTTCTTTTTCCACCTCTCACTTGTTGCTAGAGATAACTGACCTGCACAAGGATCAAAGCCATGAATGAAAAAGACAGAGAAAATGAGAGCTGAAGGGGCCCAAGGAGATGATTCAGTCGGAGGTCTGCATTTTAAGAAGGGGAAACAGACACTTGGAAAGGTTAAGTGACTTGCTTGTGGTCACATATTGCTTAGAAATATCAATGCTAGGACTAGATTAGGAAAATGAAGTGAGGAAATTATTTAGCTTGCCAGATGTATTTTAGGCTCCCAAACTCACTTAGGTTGCAAATGTGTGGATTTTCCAGTACAAATGTGTTGAGAGGCAGTGAGAATTACTGGGGAGTTGCCTCCATTTTCCCCTTTGTTCTTGATAGAAATCGTCCCCAGAATCTTACCAAAGCAATAATGTAGCCTTTTGGAGACATAGAATGTCAGAAGAACAAATGTCATCATCTACAACAATCATTTCATTTTACAGGTGAGAAAACCAAGACCCATAGGTGAGGGGACTTGTCCAAGACTGTTGGCACAGAGCTAGACAGGAACCATTCCCTGCCTCGCATTCCGAGCTACATCGCTTGGTGCTGGTTCTGCCGTTAGATTCTCACCTGCTCGGCTTGAGTTTCATCTTGGGAAGCATTTTAATGATGTTGTTCAGAGGCTCTGCACCTCATTCCTCAGGGGCTCACGATGGTCTAAAAAATGCTCACAGCTGGATTAATAAGAGAAGCAGCACCTCTGAGTTCCTTCACTTTGGCAGGAGGGAAGGAAACGCAGCTGTTTCCCTCTCCACATCCCAGATGCTCCCAGGGAGGTGAAGATGGTCCTCGCTTTCCTTTGCTTTCCCGCCTGACCAGAATTATGTGCTGGGCATCTAGATGCCTCCCCCTCAAGCAGCCTTCCCTTACTCCCCGCTGGAGTCAGCCTTCCCTCCTCTGAGCCCTGTCGGCGGAGAAGCTATGGCACACTTGCAGACTAGATATTGCTGATCCCCTCAGCGATGTTAGAAGCTGCTTGAAGGCAAGGACCAAAGCTGATTCATTTCTGTCCCCAGCTCCCAGCAGCGGTGCACCTTGCCCAGTCATAAAACTAGTTGCTGCCATTTATTCCAGGATTGCAATAGACCAAGTTCTGGGCTAAGCACTTTATCTTAAAATGGCATATTTTATCTCAGTGAATCTTCGAAGCCACTCTGCAAGGATGGTATTTCTATACACATTTTATGGATTAGGACACTGAAAGTCAACCAGTTTACAGACTTTATTATAGCATTAATAAATTCAAAACTCCCCATTATGTGTTGCTCTCCTTCCCTCACCCTTCACCGTCTACACTCCTCCAAAGTCCTCAAACTTACCCAGCTTCCTTCTGCCTCAGGGCTTCATCTGAACAGATTCCTTTGTCTCCATTATGCCCCCATTTTCCACCCAGTGCAGCCTCTCCTAACCCTTAAACTACATCATGCCCTTTTGGAATTTGCTCTCATAGCTTCCCTGACTTTTGGTTCATGGCATTTGCCACATTTTGTAATTCAATATATTGTGGGATTATGCAGTTCCCTTCTGTCTCCTCCATCAGTATAAGCTCCTTGGGGACAGGCCCCATATCCGTTTTGCTTGTCATTTTGTCCCCAGTGCCTGGTTAAGTGCCCAGCATAAAGTAGGCGCCCAGTAAACATTTTTTGAAGGAATGACCATCTGACTTTAAAGCATATATGCTCTAGTTACCATGCAAAGCAGAAAAAGTAGATGCTCACTAATGACTGTATCAATGAGAGAAGAGATGGAGGAGATGATCAGCCACAAGGTGCCAGCTAGGAAAGATCAAATACTCGGCTAGTAGAGAATATGAAGACCCAACAGGCAGCTGGTTCACTTTCAGCAAAGT